AAGTAACTGTTTATGAGTTGCTAGTTGTAAATTGCCTTTTGGAAAATAAAATTAGCCCAAAAGGTCGACTAGTAACACCATTTAAAAATAATATTTTTTAGGTGATTTAATAAATAATTGTCTATTTGTTTAAAAAATATTATTTTAGGCAAAGATTTAAATAATTGTCTATAAATCATCTAAAAATATTATTTTTAAACGATTTAATAATATTATTTATTAAATTGCCTAAAAAATATTATTTTAAATGATTTAATAAATATTATTATTAAATCACCTAAAAATAATATTTTTTGACGATTTAATAATTAATCGTTTATAAATTGTCTATAAATCATCTAAAAAATATTATTTTAAACAATTTAATAATAATATTTATTAAATCGTCTAAAAAATATTATTTTAACTGATTTAATAAATATTATTATTAAATCGTTTAAAATAATATTTTTTAGATGATTTATAGATAATTTATAAACGATTAATTATTAAATCATCTAAAAAATATTATTTTTAAACGATTTAATAATAATATTTATTAAATTACCTAAAAAATATTATTTTTAACTGGTTTATTATTAATTATTTAATTATCTAAAAAATATTGTTTTTAGGTGATTAAAAATAGTGATTTAATAAAGATTATTATTTAAAACATCCAATAATATTATTTTTTAGACAATTAAATCGTTTAATAATATTATTGGACGATTTAATTATATTAGGCTCGAGAGCTCAGCGAACCTGATCAAGCTCAATTAAGCTGAGCCTATAATATCAGGCTTGGCTTGGTTGGATTTGACCGGGCTCGATGAGCTCGTGAGCCCTTAAGGCTCATGGGGAGCTTTATGCCCAATGTGACAATGTTCTGAAAGATAGAAAATCTTCTCTAACAAAAACTAACAAAAGATTATGTAATTATCATGCTATTTTTAATGATCCTACTTGATCAATTATAGTAAATTACAAAGTTAAAGAAGAAGATCAACTTATGAATGAGTACTTTATTGTAACAGGGTTTTTACAATATCAAGTTAGTTTGTAACTTAGCAAGTTGTATATGTAAAAGATTCAAAGTTGATAAATTATATGATAACTTTACTTTAATATTAAATTTATTAAAATAAATATAAGAAAATATAAGAAATGTATAAGATATATAATATTAAATAATAAGAGATAAAATATAAGAAAGATAAAAGAAATAATTAGTTCCAGATCAAGTTTTAATAATTCAAGTTTAAGTTCCTTAGTTATTTAGTTTATAACTCTCTGATTTATTCTTTTAATAAATATTTATACAAAATGCAGATATATTCAAAAGCTTAATCACATAAAAATAATAATATGTAAAAAATCGTGCCAATGCATCTTTGCTTTATTAATTGTAATAAAAATCGAAAAGAATCAAATCTATTGTTCTATACTATTGCCTACACTATTGTCTACACTATAGGTTCTTCATTTGTCTAAACTATTTATACTAATACATTATATCAGCATTAATTATGAACTAGTTTCATTGTTATTGATATTCTAAATAAAATGATTATCTGTACGAACACAGTATCAAAAATTAATTAACAATATTAACCTTAGCAAAAATCACTGAAAGTTTATGTTTCTTGCTTTCTGCGATGTTAATAAATTTCTTGGAAAGAATAGTCATCACAAGTTTGTAAACCTAGAATTATTTCATTGAAATATAAAGTCATAACTGAAATAATCATACCTTACGGATCTGATCGAATTCAATTTACAGATATTACCTTAACTATTTAAATTCTTTTAAAGAAATCTTTGATAAGCCAATGATTGTGAAAACTTTTCTTATTATTACAATGCTCATTCGTGAACTTGGAAGGATAAAAATTTTATAATAGAAGTAATATGAATTTTTATTTGTCTATTAATTATGCACGTGAATGTCACAAGAAATCTATTTGACATGACATTGTGAATTTGACGTGACAATTTTTTACCCCTTAAATCCTCAAAATTTATTTTCAAAATTATATTGTAAATGACAAATTAACAACTCAAGAAAGTGAATATTGGATACTCAGGCTTCCGTACTTCAAGAATAACAAAACATGGAGCCCAATAGATTTCTTACAATGGAGCATAGTATTTGTTAATGAAATCAAAAAAAAAGAAGGCAAACGTAGAACATATAAAATCTGTTTGGAATGACTTGCTGAAAGTTCTGAGTTACTAAAGTCTCATACCAATAAATCAGCTCGAGAGTTGGCATTACGATGCTTGGAATCATATGAAGTTAAAATTTTTTTATTTTCTGTTTTCTGTGCATTTGTTTTATTTTTCTTGAGGCTATAGCACAGATAGGTTGTGTTCGAATATTTCTTAGTCGAGTCTAAGAAAGTGCCTTGCTATAGTCCCGCTTGCCTGCTTAAAGTACTATATCGAGTCTGAATCCCCATTCGTCGAGTTGAAAATCCCAAGGTCGCGTCCTCTATGGGTTTGCAGGGAGTGCACTTTACTTTGGTTGCGTCCAAAGTTGTAGATAACAATTTGCGTTTAAAGTTATAAGCAATTTTTTAACTTTATACATATTTAGAACGAAAAGAAGTCATCTGGAATAGGAAACTTTTGGAAGACCAAAAGTAGTGTCATGAAAATGTTAAAAAGAGTATTGACCTTGAATTCCCTAAATCTAATCAACCGAATGTTGAACTTACATTCCGATTATAATGATGCATTGACTAATACTACATGAGAAAATATTGAACCAGGTAACATCTCAAGCTTATTTTACACTATATACATTATAAACTGAATATGTATTAAACCTTTTCTTAATTATGTGATTGATAGTTCTGAGACAGAAAAGAACGAAGAACGAAGTCAAATTTGATACCGATTTGAGCAATAAAGTATTGGACGATGATATTGAAGAAAACTTCGAGGAACCTGAGATAGAAGAGGTACTTACATAGAATATATATGCAGTTACATCTACATTTTTGTATGTTCCAAGTCTGCGAATTACCTTTAGACTTACAAGTAAATTTCAAACGAATTAATTCTTGAAGTTGACATCACCTCACAAATGAAAAAGAGTGAATTCCAGTGAAGAGTGAATATGTAGTTCAGATAATCAACAACAATCTTCAGTACTTCCTCAATTAGAAGTAGATTTATTAGATATTATACAAGCCTCAAAAATTGAGGTAAATTTGGTTTACCATTTATCAACACGTTTTTATATTGCATACCAGAACTAAGGGTAACTTTGATCAGGTGTTGAAAGAATTTGAAACAAAATCGTGCTTAGAGAAATACAATATTTTTTGTCTTTTTGATGTTGAATTTCATTACACAAATCAACTCTTCACAAAATTATCAACGGATCAAATGAATATGATAAAAAGTAAATGGATGATAGTTAGTTTATTTTTTAATTGTTATATAGAGTTATGGACATAAACTCTGAATTAATAAATTTATTTTTCTAATAACAATAAGGCCGAAGAGTCTATTAATAAAAATGAAATCGAAGAATACTGGAATGCATGTTTGTTAAAAAAATTAGTTGGTGATTATCACGAAGTCATCAAAAGGAATGTAAATGAAGATACATTTTATACAGACTTTGACTCACTTATGACTGGTTTTACAAAACAACAATTTGATAAATATCAATATCAAAAAACTTATGAATTATTTTGATGTCAGGACTTTTATACGCAGTTGTATGTATTGTGATGAGTTTCTCTTATTATTATGACTGCAAAATAAATAACTAATTTTTTGTTATATCAGAACTCTCCGATTATTGCAAAAATATAGTGCTTTGTTAGACAGCAGTACAAGTGAATATCAATATCGAGATGAAATAATAAATCCTCTTCTAGCTTCGATATTTTTTGATATTAAAAATGCATTGTAGTTTAAAATGTAAGTAAGCCTTCTGAAAGTTATTCCTAAAATTATAGATCTAATCTATATTAATAATAAACTAGTGGAGAAATTGAAAATAAGACGCGAAAATGACAATGCAACTTTTTAAAACAAAAAAAAGAACACGAAAAACTTGGAGACAAGCATGATCGCATTTTATATATGAACATACAGGGTACTCCAGTCAAAATCAGGTTTTTAGAAGTAGTGGGTAATGCGTTTAACACTTTAATTCATACTTTCTCATTATAAATAAATATAATATTATTTGTATATATAAAATTACCTTTTACCTTGACATTTATCAAACACACTAAGTCATAATACAAATTGTTAAGAACAATTAAAGAGAAATGTACACAGAAAATGTTTTACTTGATGCCAAATTAAGGATTGGTCAACATTTAAATCATACTATAAATTAGAATAAATAGTGTAATTATTGAATATTTAACAAATTAATTAATTAGTTAAATTATGATTAAAATAAAAATAAGATATTATTATCTCTCTGCATCAAAAGATATTATAAATATATTTTATTCACCTTCCAAGTTACAAAATTATTTAATTTAAAATAAAATATACACAATTAATTCCATGATATAACTTTGACTGAATTCGTAATATACCCTTATGTAAAAATATCTTTATTTAATTCCACCAATACACTTGAATACGTTTCAATCATATCTCTTCTTAATAATGTGTGGTCACGGTTTGAGTGATAGTCTATTTATTGGCTTTAATAAATTAAATTGTTAATATTATTTTAGTTATTAAATGTAATTGATTTATTATAAAAAGAAATTAATTAATCATTCAATCCTCTTTTACTTTACAATTATTTGGTACAACTTGAAAATCATTAGAAAAGCAAATAAAGAACAAATTATAACCCTAATTCCTTCTCTTTTGGAAAGCAAATAACTTGTAATATAAAATCATTGAAACTCATCTTCTATGCCTCAAAAATTTTATCCTGAATTGATAAAAAAGGAGCACTTATATTCAAAATGATCTGATAAATTAAATTTCGAGGCAGAATTAATATTATATTATTCATCAAATTTATGATAAAGTATCAAGCACAGTGTTACTATGGGTTTCCTCCACTTTCATAATTTCTTATTATTTTATTTTATTTTATTCTTATTTGTATTTATTTTAT